ACTTTTCCGTTTTATTTAAATTTCCCGACGTTTTTGGAAATGACTATAAATGCCATTCACTCTTCAAAATTTTCTTACGATTTTTTCTGATCCCTTCTTCTTCTTCTACACAATAATTACTTCGTGTATTTTACTGTTGTTGAGTGATTCGCTGACACCAGAATTTTCGATATCTATACTCTGGTGATTGAGATTATTTTATCCTAGAAGGTCATATTCCAAATCAAACCTCGAATACTAGAGGGAAATTCAGTAGACTTGATATTTTTCTGTTTAAATTTTTCAGATTCTGTTACATTACAAAATTTATTTTTTCTTAATTAATTTTGTTCATCTCAAGTACTGATTTAATAAACTTTGATTACTTCGTATTTTTGCAAAATTTCATTTGAATCAGTAATTTTATTTTTTTAACACAAATTGACAATATATATAAAATAAGTTATTCATGTTTTTTCAATCAAAACAAGAAATATATATTCTAGTAGACCAAGAGTGGACCGGACCGAAACATTTGGTTTAACACAAATGTTTTATTTTGACTTTTCTCTTTGTGACATAGTATGAATCATACAAATCGACTTAAAAATCTTAATAGCTAAATTGATTGATTATTTGAACTTCCACTTTGTCCCCGCGTTGTAATTCCTTTTCTTACCCCTACTTTTTTTAACATAATTTGCTGAACACCAATAGATGGAATACTTTCAAAAGGATTTCATGTTTCAAAGACTTGTATAAATAGGAGGAGACCTTCAGACTTGTTGCTCAGATATCTTTTCTCTCAACTACACAACACTCTTGCATCATCTACCACTAATTTAACTGCTATAATGGATTATAGAAATGAGTCTTCCGATACTCTCAGGTAATCTATTCATTTCATTTACGCAAATATTTCATTTTTTTACGTCAACATTTAGATTCGGGTCTAATGTTTGATCAAACACAGAAATAGTCATCAAACATTAACTTTTGAACCATATATATTATCTAACAAAAAATTGAAAATTGTAAGAATTTTTTTTAAGAGAATTGCGAGAGAAATTTAAAAAAAAAATGAATTATTTACTAGCTAAACAATTTATTGATGGGAGTACGTACGTAGTACAGGAACAAGTGTGCAGCGTGCTATAGGCAGTTCAACAAAAAGGAACATCTTGTGGAACACATGAGGACATCTTATCATTCAGTTCATGAGCCCATGTGTGGTGTTTGCAAAAAACACTGCCGCTCTTTTGAATCTTTAAGGGAGCATCTAATTGGTATGCTAGCTACACTTACCCAAAAAAAGCATCCTTTTTTTTCGAGTTTAAGTTATATATATCGTCACGTTCAATTTTTTTTATTTGGTCACTAATGTACCGCAGGGCCACTTCCAAAGGCAGAATGTGAAAGAATTTTCAAGGAACGAGGATGTGATATTTGTTTGTCAATCCTTGGCAATCGAACTTCTCTACGGGCTCATAGAGAATCATGCCTCTCACGTCCTAATAATAACGTAAGCAATCAATTCATCCAAAAAAAAAATTAAAATTATTAGAGTAGAATAGGAAAAATCTATGCAAGTACTGATACCATGTTAGATTGTGTGACTGTCTTATTGCAGGGTTTATTGTATCGCATGGCTAATTTGGGGATTCAAGATGAACTAAGAATTGATAACAGCAGAGGAAGAGTGGTTGCTCTTGCTTGTAAAATGGTTGGTGGTGGAAGTGATGGATCTTTAGATCTTTGTGCTAGGGTTTGTCTCATTGATGAACATGAAAGAATCCTCTTTCATTCATATATCAAACCAAACATTCCTGTCACTAACTACAGGTGATCCATTTCAATTAATAATGTAAAAAAAAATCTTAACACAATTAATAAATTTCAACTAATTTGTTATAACATTTTTATTTAGTTACTACGTTATTAAACGGAGTAACAATATACTTATTGTTCTAAAGTTAATTTACTACATAAAATTTAAACTCAAATATTAAAGCACGTTCTCTTATTTTTGGTCTTTTTGCGGCCCATTCCATGACAAGAACAACAAGGATGTGTCATGATAGTGTATAATTTTTCTTATATTGACGATGTATATTAACTTAAACTCTGACGAGATAAATATATATGTTTATAGGTATGAAATGACGGGTATAAGACCAGAATATTTGAGGGATGCAATGCCTTTAAAAAATGTGTCAAGAAAAATTCAAGAATTTCTTTGCAATGGGGAACCTATTTGGCAAATCCGTTCTAAAGGTGGAAGGTCTAGGATTCTTGTTGGCCATGGTTTGGATCATGATCTTAAATGTTTGGAGATGGATTATCCAGCAATAAAGATGAGGTAAATTAATAATTATTTCATCAATTATATAATTTAAAAATACTTTACTGCTATATAGAAAAAACATGAAATTAACTCCTACTCATTACTATTTTATATATTACAATCAAATGTCTTTGGTAATCTAGTTTACAAAGTACATACACAGTAGCGTATATTTTATACTAAAATATACATATACTTATTCATTTGATATACATACCGTATACATTAACATATATAGCCAAAGTATATAAATAGTGTATATTTCGACCATATTTACGTGAGTTAATTCCCTTCTAACATTTTATTTTATTTTTTGTAAAGGGATACTGCAAAATACCCACCACTTATGAAAACAAGCAAGCTCAGTAACTCCCTCAAGTACTTGACCAGAGCTTACCTCGGGTAATTTATACATTAAATAGTGCATATATAAAACTTTATCCTTAATAATATTATTAATGTAATTTGTTGTTTTTATAAAAAAATAAAATAAATATGAATGGACAATAATAAGGGAAATTGTGTGTAGGTATGATATTCAAAGTGGAGTACAAGATCCGTATGAAGACTGTGTGGCCACAATGAAACTCTACATGAGAATGAAATTATCACAATTTCACAAAAAAGAGAATTATCCTCTTGCTACTGATCCACAAAATAAAAATAACTTTGCATCTTGGAGGCAAAATGAGCTTGAGAGGATGACTCCTGACCAACTATTGGATATTTCAAGGTCTGATTATTATTGTTGGTGTTTGGACTCACAAGATTATTAATATATAGAAGATCATGATAACGACGACGCATGGTCTTATATAAAATAATAATACTCAATGTGTTATGGATTCTTATTAGTAGATATCGATGATTCAAATAGTATTCATGAAAAAAAAATTTAGTATCTTTGAGTGCATACTTGCTATTGTAAGATTGATATAATATAGTTACATTTGAAATAAAATGAATTTAATTAGTTGCAAATTTTTTTATCAAGAACAGATGAATGCCTGACCAAGTCACTTATTCATTTCAAATATAGCTATTTGATGATAGGAATTTGAAATGACATCAAATGTTTATAGCTATTTTCTTAACCGCAAAAACTTTAAACTATTACAAATTTACAAATATACGAAATTATTTTTGAACGAATATTTGTATGTATTCAACAAGTATTGAATTTATTTCTGACGGAGTTTTTTCTTTTTTTGTGTGTGTGAGATGTTTAGTGAGGTTTTTATGGCAAACATTTGCTCTTATAAAAATTGTTGACAATAGTTTTTATCTTTTCAAGTTTGTGAGTTTGATGTTTGGTTGTTGAAATTACAAGGCCAACAGTGGCGACCTAACAATTTTTTTTTAAAAAGAAAATTAACATTGAGCTTGCTTACCTAATACCTCAAACTTAAAAAGATAAAATTTGTATATTACGCGGGCATAATAAATTTTGTTTTTACTATGTCTAAAGTTAATCCTAAAATGGTTAAGGTGATAAAGATTGTACACTTCGACTGTAGCTCAAATAGGATTTTCAGAATCGACTGTATGTGCACTTTCCCATGTTATATTACCATTAATTATATTTTGGGTAAAATTGTATTAGAATTAATTAGTAGCCTTAAAAGTGGATATTGTCAAAATCACAATGGATTTGGCGCCTCCTGATATGATCCATTTTCGGGTTCAACAAGGATCTGAACCACACTTTTTTGCTATTGGCCCAAGTCCACACACACCCCTTTTTCCTTTTCATGTTATTATTCGGTTCAATTTTTGTTGTGATTTATGGAGTCTTTAGAGGATGATTTAAAGATTATTTTGAGCAGACTAAAATTTATGAGAAAACATTAGCACCACAACCTACAATTTTATAAGCTATTATAAATATTAGACCAGAATTTGATATGATATTAAAATACTTTTCAATTTTCAAATTAAAATAAGGAGTTACCTGTTCATACTGACTCATCACTCTATGTCATTAGATATATGTTAACGCAAGAAGGGCCGATCTGAATCTAGTGGTCGGTCCAGATAGATAAATTTTCCAGTGACCATATTTGCACGACATTTCAGAATAGGGGCAACATCTAACAGTGACTTGTGACAAAACGGACGGTTGCGTAAATCAGCCTTACAGTTTTTTATTCATTATGCCGAATTGTGAAGTAGCTTCACACGCCAAGAGGAGATTATTGCTCAGATGATAAGCACCCTCTATTAAGTGTGACAGAGTTAAGGTTTTCAATTGAAGGGTTTAAAATCTAAAATAAAATAGATAATAATCGAAAAGGATTCGACATCTACTATATATATCTAAAACGTTAACCATATATAAATTATCAGATTTTTCAAAGGGAGTTCAGATATATCCCTCATTGTAAGGTTGCTCTACCACTGCCTCTAACTCCAACCTTGATGTCGTGGATTTGAGTCAAGGAAGAAAAAGTAAAAAAAGTAGAAATTCTTAGAAAGGGATATTTTTAACCCAATAGGTGGATGAGAGATATATTTTAACCTTTTCGAATAGTTTAAGATATTTTTGGCCTTTTCTCGAAAAAAAAATACCTTGACACCATTCTCAACTGGGCATGGGTCTACGAATTCCCAAGGCCTTCGAAAAACCAGATGAAACGTATGGCTTATCAATTCAACAAGCGGATAACTTGTCCAGGAGTTCATCGAATCTGGTAATTCTCATAATTAGATATCTCACTAACAAGACACATATATAATATCATCCTAAAGCTTTGTTCAAGGAGCATTACAACATAATTAACTCAAGAAACCTTAGTTTCACCTGAACAACCTGCAACTGATTTTTCACATCATACAATTATGTCAAACTTTAAAGGATGAGAAACAAATAGACTCAAACATGGACCGTTACTACGTTGATCTGGAATTGCATAGTACATAGCCAGATATGAGTGAGCTGAAGGCCAAAGCCGCAAATGAAAGGAAGGACAATGCTACAGAGGCGCTTGCCATATCAGGAAATTTGTCCTTGCCCCAATTGGACTGCCAATCATCAATGCGAGTGGCAGCAGAAGATGATGCTGATATCAGAAGATATGTTACCACCTGTCATTTAGAAAAAATACTAATCTTTTAACAGAAATTACGAGTATCAATACAAGCTCTCCACACGTTTAGGCATGAAATCAGTAGTCGCCTACAGTTTCTGGTCTAGTCACCAAGAAAATGAAGCTCCATATGGACCATGTAACCAGCTTGGCTAAACAAGTATAAAGTGTGCTCTGGTTCTTTATTCAACCTTGGAAAAAATTATATTACCTGTAGATATGACCTAAAATTGTTTATTTAGTTTCATTAAAAACTTAGTCATGTCCCCTAAAATGTGTATATTTCATATCAGCTTTAAAGCAACAGCTAATTATCAATCAACAGAAAAATTGTCTCTGCTGCTAAGTATGAGATTATACAAAATTAATTACAACCCGATAAGTTTATGTAGTTGGGTCTCAAAAGGACCCTTGCTGGTATATCCTTGGGATCTCTCTCCTGGAACCACTTGGTGAGGGGACTTTGCTGGATGGAGACAGTAAGGTTGTACATAAATGCAATAACTTTCACGAAGGAAAAGGAACTTCACACAGAGAATTGCGAACAGACTGATATCTGCTAGCTACAACTAAACTATGCTTTCTTCAAAGCCCATTTCATGACTGATTCACAAACATCTGAGTCCATCTTAATATATAAAAAATAATCTATGTAACACTTTATATAAAACTGTGATAGTCTATTGCTTCTTTTTGAAGATCAAAATAATTATATCTGCATGCATTGCTTTTGTGAATACAAAGGTGCTGGAAAGTTTATCAAACCATAATTCATAAGCAAGTAACCTTCTTAACTGTAAAATATTGGTTCTTCGAATTAAATTAGCTAAACCTGAAGTATACATCAAGTACCAATAAATAAACTAGCTATTTGTAAGCAAATTGGACAAAACGTAATGGAAATATAGAAAATTGCCAAAGGACCTCACCAGGAAAACCAACAAAAGAAACAACATTTCACTTGAATTCGTATCTCAGTAAGTTAAAACCTTTTAAGAACTATTTAGCACCCAAGAGAACTATCAAATCCACAAAGGTGTATCCAACGGGAAAAGGTGTTCTGAAGGTTTACAAACTATCATCTGCCATATCCTCTTTGCAATCTCTATTGCACTTGATTTTTTTACTTTCTATCTTCCATACAGATTCAGCTAGCCATTAGGAGAGTTCTAGTCATTTTAGCCTTTTGGAATTTAGAGGATACACAAAACAAAGCCTATTGGGAAATGCTTATATGTACAAGATAGCCATGGAAGGAACCTAATCACAGGAATCAGTCTGCTAGGGCAGAGTATGCAAACGAGCTTAGTAACACTTAATTCAGGAAAGACAGGTATTAATGTAATCATATATCTATTTGTTTGATTTTTAGTAAGGGCTCAATATTGGGTTAATGGAGAAACATATCCTCAAGATAAATGTAAAAAAAGGAACTTGTGCTTATGGAAGGCATATATAGCTGAGGGTAAGTAATATTTTGGGCTCAAAAGGAGCATGCCACAAAAAAGGTAATTCTACAGTTGGGATGGTCCTGATAGTATTTTCCAGCCAATGAAAGCAATTAATAGGCACCTAGATGATCATAAAGGAAAAATTCCTCCAACCTTGAAGGAATATTTTGGAGTGAATTCTATGACAAATAAACATTTTTATGGGGTATATGATTCCTCTCCATCCCCTTTTCTGTTCATTTTACTTGAGAGCTAGATAGCTACAACAGTCTTCACCAGGCTAGTACAAAATCATCACCACCATCAAACGATTTTTTCCTCTCAATCAAAGGGCTTAATATCATACTTAATAAGCCAGATTTCACTACCCCCAAAAGAGAAGAAGTCAGAAGTTCTAAAAGTTTAAAACAATTATGGAACCTAACCATGAAATATGCATGTATAAAGATAATAAATCTTATATTTATTATTTTGCTATAAACAACATGTATTAGTGTAATTGGATGAACCAACTTGCCTGATCTAGGGCAAAATCAAACATGTAGCGCAAATGATGTTGCACGATGTTCTTGCCGGTGGCAGATTGGTAGGCTAAATCGAATGCCTGAGCTGCTGAATACACAAATCCAATGACATTCACTGACATACAGTACCTGCAACGTTATTCACCTACCAATATTATCATTCATAACTATACCTGCCTAACACATTTATTCATTGCTCTGAAAGAGTGAAACTTAATGCGCTGCAGAATTAATTCAGTCAATGTAAAGAGAACAAGTGACAAACCTGAACTCCTTGTAACGTTCAAAAGAATCCAGAGCCCAACCCTTATTCCTATCAGCTGCCATAACAGAAAATGAAACCAAACAAGACAAAAACCCAAAAATCCTAAAACCTAAACCCGCTTTCTTTACCATTGCATCCCTCCTCACTTTTCTTAAAATCGACAACTGTGGCTTTCCTCTCTGCCGACGGTTGCCGCTGTCTTCACCTTCCTTAATACTAGCTGTACCATCTCCGACAAACAGATCCGCTTTCACCAAAGCCAGTGGCTCCTCCTTGATAAACTTCTTCACCACCGCTTCCGGTATTGGAGGTTTTTCCGGCGGACTCCCCGTCGGAGCTGCAGAAGGCTTAGTATCCTCCATATTTAAGGACTCATGAGGAAGAGAAATTTGATCAGAGGAAATTGACGACCTCGGCGGAGATTCCACCGGCGGTGAAGATACTTTAGTAGCTGTAGAATCTCTATTAACAGTAGCAGTAGTAGAATCAATCTTACTAACTTTATGTTCTCCACACTTACTAAAATCATCTGAATCGGAGGAAATTGATGACCTCGGCTGAGATTGCGCCTTAGTAGAATCGCCATTGACGGTAGAGGGATTAGTAGCTTTATCTGTTTGGAACTTAGTGGAATGATCAGAATCGGAGCCGCTATGAAAACGAGCTGGGGAGGAGAAAGTAATAGCTTTCTCAGGTTCAGAATCAGTAGAATCTGATTCAGAGAGGGAGAGATGCTGCTGTTCATTCTCCATAGCCGTTTGCAGAGTCTGCTTGGTATGATTCAATTCCATGAAGAAGAAACAGAACACTGCTGCTACAAAAATGGGATTGGGTGTATGAAAATGGAGTGAAACGGAAAATAGAATAATGAATGGAAGTTGAAAGATGAGGTCTCTGCGATAATGATAGTTTTGGCGGTTTCCACTTTCGTCTTCCACGTCTGAATTTGTGAAAGCTCTATATTTAGGACTACTACTAAATACGAGTACAGTATTCCAAAAAAAATGAAAACTGTGATCTAAAAATTTAAATAAATTATAACGTTTTTGTGGTTTTAAGTAAATAAATATTTTAAAAATTAAATTGTTATTAAATATAAAATTATATAAAAAAAAATTTAACGAAACAAAAAGAAAGATGAGTCATATGCCATTTATCCTAATTTTCCAGACAAAATTATAGGAGTACCTTTTTTTTTTTTTCAAAACGAAATTATACTGAGAAATCAAGAAAATAGAGAAAAAGGTATTTAGAAACGGTACAAAGGTATACCCAAAGCATCCTTCATTAATTAGTACTAAAAGATTATGAGTTGACATATTAACTTGTCACTATGATTCCTCGAGGTATTGAACAATTATTATGCAATACCTCCCGGTGTAATTATAGAACCTTAGTAGATTATCAAAGAAAAGTTGCAGCCTGATAACAAATATACAAATTAGTGATAATTGAATGATATTTTGATCTTAAATGAAAAATAAATAATATTTTAAAGCAATATCCTAAACTTAGGTGACCGTTTGGGAAATTGAATGAAATTTCTGATCACTAATAACCGGTATCCAGATTTGTAAATCTTAGCCACTATTACATGCATATCTCGCAATTTCACATTGATGTTTACAGACCTCACTAAACAGAGACGAATTTAGTGCTAGTTCAGCAAGTTCAGAAAGTACCCGTTATTCTCTCAACTTGTATCACGTATACAAATGCAAGGATATTGTACATAAACGATCACAACTCTTTTGAACCCAATGACACTTTTAACTTCTGGATTGCAACTAAGTTTCTGAAAAAGTTGGTGCTAATGAAAGTGGTGAAACAGTCTCACAAGCCTGAGAAGTATTCGCGAGCTTCATAATACCGATCCAACACTACGTTGAAGAGTGGGTGAACCTGTTCCAACAGACATTTGGAATAAGGACCAAATACATCCCTGGGTAATGGTGGAGAATCAGCTTCGTCGGTCCAGCTATACTGAGCAATTGAAAGACCACTTAAACAGTAACAGGTATGGTAGTAGTCTCTACCCTTCCCAGGTTTGTCTCTGAAACCACCAACTTCAATCTACATCCACAACATGATATATTAGAATCTTGAAAAAGATATAAAAGCAATAGAAACAGGAATAACAAACTGCCAAAAGAAACTAAACACTAATATCTTGGTGAGTCGCAGCATCTGATATAGAATATTTAAAACCCACTTAACTTTCTTTTTCCCTTGGAAGAATGAATAAATAGTTACCAATTATACACAAGAAAATTGAACTCTGATTATGAAAAGAATGCAAAATAAAGCTGTTGAATCCAACACCAATTAAGAGGATGATTAGTACACGACTTCATGTTGCCAACAAATTCAAAAAAGAACATTATATCAAATACACATGCCTTTTAAAGGCTCTTGAATTTATATGTTAATGGAGAAATAATGATGCCCAGCAGATGAATGATATTCAAGATGTTCTAACAAGAACGGTGTGGTTTTAGTGATGCTCCAAAATCAGACAACAATTCCATCTTCAGACGAGATTAGGAGAGAAACCCGATATAATTTACTTATTTCTTTAAACTATGTAGGGCCTAGAAGCTCAAATAAACCAGTTTCTCATATGCATTTTCAGTGATGTTACAAATTTTATAAACAAAATCTTAGCTTCTTATACGATTATAATTTTCTTGAGATTTTTTCTTCATCCCTTATTTTCCAGCTTGTGCTGCTGTGCATATGCATTACAATCCTACACCAAAGCAAGGGACATGCAAGAGTGAACAGGGATCTTCAGAATATATTTTCTCGAAAATTTAAGCACCTGAGAGCAAAGAAGAACATATTGCTGCAGATACATGCTGTCAAAGAGAGGCCTCATAGCTATGGGTCGGTTGATAAACTCATATCCAGTATCTGCTATTTTTGGGCTATGAGAAGCATTTTCTTGACAAGCACCTAAGAAAAATGAAATGATGTGATTAGAAAGTAATTGTGATAAGACCTAAAAGAAAGAAAGATCTAGACAACACAAAGAATCTGGATAGAAATATTAGGAGCTGTCAGAGTTTCAAACTTCCAATGAAATGCTCTACTAAACAATCTCGGTACACCGTCAAATGGACAAATGGATCAGAGTAAGGGACATACAACCCATTTTGATAATCCAACTTTTACACATACATTGTTTGAAGAATCCAACATATGGTAACTAGTTAAGGTGAAGTTCAGCTGATAGCACTATAGGTTACTAACTACCTGACCATCTGGAGATATCAAGTTCATATACAATCCAAGTGCCACTTCTGTGACAAGAGAAGTGGTTTAAGATGGAATATATTCTTTTCATCCTTCATTTATTAAATTCCACCCACTGGATTCCGTTATAACATGATATGCTCTATTTAATTCAGATCCAAGGACAAAGTTGAATAGCACTGCAACAAACAGACCAGTGAATCACACAGTGGTACTTTCTTTTTGGCCTTTTGAACTATTGTTCCTCAAATTGACATACCTGCTTGTCCAAGAGGGAAAGTATCCTGAACATGAGAGGATATCCCTTCCAAATGCTCTTCTTCATCAGATAACTCTGACTCTGAAGAATCATCAGCACTTTCTGTACTGAGGTCATTTGACAGCCCTAGTTGTTCATGGACTATCAAATTTAGTCTTTGTATAAGAAACACTACCGCGCCCTGATCAATCAAAGTCATCTTTAGCTCAGTAATAATTAAACTGGAAATGGAAGAGTTCAGGACATAAAGGTAAAACTGGTAGTCACCTGCCAAAAGGAATAGCAGCCATCGACTAATTTATTTGTCCTGCCTTGAAATCCACCTTCGACCCCTTGTCTAAATACCACCCAATCCTAAAGATTCATAATCATAATACATCATCTCCATCAATACCGTCAGATGATCCAGATTTAAGTAACATCAATTCAACAACTCGATAGAACTCAACTTGGGAAGAGTTATTAAAAAAGCAACAGAATGAAACTGCTAAGAGAAGTAAAGAGACTAAGAGGAAGTCATGTAGAGGTACTACTATACGAAAGATACTTGGAAGGAAAAGGAACTAATACGTTCATTAATAATCTACCCCCAACAATCCCAGGAATGCAGCAACAGAACCTGGTGCAGCTCTACAAAATGAACCAGCGTCAAAACCAAAATTAAAGGCCAGAAGGCCATTCCTGAGTTCCTAGATATCCTCCTAACCATATAAAAAGGTGGTGTATTAGCAAAAATAATGCATGCATTAATTATATGTATTAGTAGTACCTTGTTTAGTGCATTTTTTCATGCTATGTATGACTAATTATACACACTATTCTATTGTGTATTGAAGAGTGTATTACTAATAGCATGGATTTCTTGGTATTAGTGATGCAAAGGATTTAATACGTGCATTAATATGGTTATCTTTTCCACCATAATTGTGAAGGCTACTTTTGTAAATATATATTTTATATAATACACACTATTTTTAATATACCAAACCAAACAATGCATAACTAATACAAGTATAACTAATGCTTTCATTACTAACACAATCTATTAGGTATTATTTTTATATGCTCTAACAAACGACCCGTAAGTGTTAAGATTTTGTTCTAATTTTCATAGCTTATCTGAAATTTATTTTTTTTAGGGGAAAAGGACAGATATACCCTCGAACTATTGTAAATGGTATGCAAATACCATCCATCATACTTTTGGGACATTGGTGCCCCTGTCGTCCAAAAAATAGAGCATATATACCCTTTATACTAACGGACACACACGTGTTATAATCTTATCCACCGATACAATATTTATCGACGAATAAGATTGGACCACGTGTCTGAGTGAAGGGCATATATGTTCTAGTTTATGGAAGACAGGGGCACCAATGTCCCAAAAGTATGACGGAGGATATTTGCATACCATTTACGATAGTTCGGGGGTATATTTTAATATTTTTCCCTTTTTTTCTAAAAGAAGAGACAAAACAGTACTTCAAATGTTTTTACTTTTCATGAAAGGAAAATATTTTTTTTTCATATTTGGTTTATTTTTTCGTTAAAGAAAAAGTTAGGAGATTATATATTGAAAATCCCTATTCTCATAAGTCATCACAAAACAACAATAGAATCCACAATGTACTCGTTTTAGAGACTTTTCTTTATGGAGAGATTGTATTTTATTTTTATGACAAGGGAAACCTGCAGCCGCTACCCTTTGGGTGCACACGGGGTTAAAATCCCGCTTCTATGCAATATCTCGCAAACCACATGGGAGAGGTAACCCGCACTAGGCAAGCCTGGTGCGACGAGCTCGGCCCGGAAGGTAAACCCCTTGCTTTCGCTGGCAAGGGGTTTCGAGCTTGAGACCTCTAACATGAAACTCCCAAGCTCAAACCACTGGGCCACCTCGAAGGATTATGGGGAGATTTTTTCTAAACAATTTTAATGTTTTAAATTAGTTTTTAATATGTAGGTCAATTGACCAAATTCTATATAATAATATTTTAATTTTTAGTATAAGTTTTTGTCATCTAATTTATCAACATCTTGATTTGCAATTGTAAACTTCGACATGACGCCTTAATCACTTTCGAACCCAACACCAAGCTCCCTGCGCATAGCGTGGTCCAAGGAAGGGTCGGACCACAAGGTAATAAAAAGCATTCAAAAGTTTAATACTCCAACAAGGTAATAAAAAGCATTCAAAAATAATACTCCAACATCCCCAATAAGGACAACCACCAAAATGTTGCATGTTATTTCCCAGTTGTTTATCATCTAATACACTTTTTCCCATATGCTAACTTTTCTAGTGCATCAAAGTTATTTCCAATTTATTCACTTTTGATTCCTAAATATCCAACAAAAAGTTGTATCTGTAAAAATAAAATAGCCTACCATCATAAAACCAATGATTTTATTTATTTTTTTGGATTATGGCTT